TGTGTCCCATGGCTTACAGCTTTATCAGATACACATGGGACCATGAGGAGAGGAGATGTAAGCTGTCACAGCAAAGGCTACGTGATATTTCAATTAGCAGCAAACCTTCTTTTAAAACATCTGAATAACTAAAGCCAAGAGGAAATGTAATTCCACCTTCCTATGGATAGAAGGGGGATCTTTGAACATGTGCTCACGTCATTTAGGGATTTTTTGCTTCTTTGCTGCTAACACTTCATGCAGTCTGGAGGCACAGGAGGTAGAATTTGAATTCTTCTGGCCATTTGTACACATGTGGCATTTCTTGACCTTTAAGTATTTGATTTTGAAAACTATTTAACTTTTTGATGTAGGTGTTTTCGTGGGCTTTGCAGGGGAATGCCAAAAATTTTCAGCATGTAGGGGGGAAAAAAAAAATCAGTAAGAGCAACTGTGTGACTGCTCTTCTGTTTTTAAGCCCTCCCTCTGTGTTTGCAACACCAGTCAAACTTTCTTAGAGAGACACAAGCTTCTTATTCAGCTTTGTTTTGACAAAGAAAGATAAACCACTGTTTTGCTTTGTCCTTCCCTCACTATTTACTCATTATTTTTATTTAGTTTGGTATTCCCTGCTCCTTGTAGAAAAAGGAAAAAAAAACTTATTTTTTTTAAAAAAAATATTTTTGACCATATGAAGTTGTTGACTATGTATGTTCCTATGAAGAACTTAAAATAGAAAGTAATTATAAATCACTGCTAAAATGAGCTTGTCCTGCAAAGACAAGGACATTTAATTGTGTCCTTGTATGACTGGAATCACTGTAAACAACTAATATTCCTATTTGCAGGGACAGAAATAACTGGCTCATTCAGCTGTACAGAAAGGAAGACATAAAAGGAAACCAAAGGCTAAACCAGAATAAGCCACTGGAAAGTTTTATGTCAACAAAACTGGATTTAAATTAAGTAACATCAATTCAATATTTTGACTGTAAATGAATCAGAACATTAAAACATGTTCTAAAGGGAACATTTGTGATGAAACATCTATGACTAGTTCCTATACTGAATTAATAGGAAAGTTCCTGCTTCTGTGTGGGACCAAATCCTCACAGCAAAGTTACAGCTTTAGTATTACACCTTATAGACCTAAACTCTGAAAATGACAATAGCAGCAGAATTGCAAGGAAAACACTGAATAAATGACTTATCAGTGATACACAATGGAAAATATAGCACTAATGACATCATTACAGGTTGTATCATCCTATATATGTGTGGAGCCAAATTAAAATGACACAATTTCCATTCTTATATTTTCTGATTTTCTGAGTGCTTGACTTTGCAAATTAAAACTCTTTCATGATCATTTTTTCTGACACTGACTTGCAGAAATGTTGAGCAGATTTTTGTGTTCATTACTTTGCCCTACTTGGTGGCAAAGGTTTAAAACCAAACTAGCCAACCAGCCCCAAGCTCAGACCAAAGCAGTGCATGTCTAAGCTCTTTGAAACTGGGAGGTGAGTCAAGCCACCTTGCTTTAAATCAACAGAAACACAGCAGAGCTATTCTCTCATGAGAGGAAATATGGGAATAAACTACACATTCAACAACGATGGCACACCCTTTGCAAATAAGAACAGAGAATTCATTTACCCAGTAATTTTACAGTGTGATAACAAATGAACATTGTGGGCAGACAGCAGAGAACCAAGAAGATACACAATCCATGGCAAGGATCAGCCAAACCAAAGTGAACTTTTTCAATTGTCAAATTTTGAGTAATTAGTACTTCCATTAGAGGCACAGTTCCAGCTTTAAGCAATTCTAAGTAATTAATGTTCCTTTATTTTGCCTAGAAGTCCTGACTTCAGCATTCTCTTAGGATACGAATTCTAGCCAGAGCTACACAATACAGATTAACTCAACTAGAAGACAATTAAAGCAGGCAGATGAAGATAGAGTTTGTCAGTCTGTACACACTGTTACTTCTAGACTTGGATGCACTTTTTATTAACAGAGCAGACTGATTTAAATGGGGGCAGAGACATGATTTTGTTCTATCTGTACCTGTATGACTGCCTAAGCCACAAGCAATGTTCAGACAGGAAAATTCTAGGTGACCAAATGACAAAACAAAGTAAATGAAACGCCAGATTATGTCTTCCTGTACAGCTTCAGCCAACTACAGGAATTCAATACCTGATTATATACTTAATAATTTAAAATACAGCATTTAAAATCCATGATGGAGGAAATCTTGCTATAGTTATGCATCATGTAAATCCCTAGATTAAAATGCCAAGGGGAGCAGGAAGCAGAAGCTGGCCTTGTGGCTAGCACATGGAAAAGACTAAATTGGATTGCCAGAGATGTTATTGCATTGCCATTGCACGCTGTGCTGGGTGAACTGTCTGGGTCCTCACAAGCTTGGCTTTGAAATGGGCCTAGCAGTACCCTTCTCCCCAAAATGGGTTTGGTTTTGTGTTTCACGGGTGTTTTGAAGATGACTTGTTTGCCAGAAAAGGTACAAAGTAAAAAAGTGCAATGCAGACATGTCCTTTTCTATTTGCACTATAATATCAAGACAACACCTAAAATATTATATATTGAGCTTTGAAACACAAGGCATACAAAGCAGAAGTTGTACAAGCCTTTTACCCAATTTTGAGACACCACTGACCACTGAACTGTACCATACACCAAGAGACACATGGCAGAAAACATCACACTTCACCTTCCTACCAAACACAAGCACAGCAACAATTACCTGGATATTTGGCTTGTGAATTTTCCCTAACTGCAAGAAGCAGAGGCCCAAGACAATATTCTTCACCCAGTAATCGGTAGCAGCAAAGGGAAAGCTGAAACTGCAGCTGAGGAAGAGGAGAGGAGAGCAGAGCAGGACCTCACTCACACAGGTCTATTGCTGCACTGGTGAGAGGCTCTAACTGTTCTTTTCCAAAAGTTATTGTTCACATGGACTCCAGATTGGCAGTGCTTTAATATTAAATTGATATGAAAAGAAATATGACACTCTTGATCTACAAAGCCTCTCTCTCTCTTCTCACAGATTTGTCAACATTTGCACATGGTCAGAACCAAGGTCTAAGAAAGGCAAATCCACCAAAATCGTAAGAGGTTCATGCCTTTTTGCCTGGACCTCACCTTTACAATTGTTTTTACGAGTCTCTTCCAAAATATGATTGCAATATGATTGTGCTTTTGAGCTACCAGGTATATTAAGTGCACAACAAGAACCCACATTTTTCTCTGACAGAGAAATCAAAAGTGGCGATTTTCAAATATCTTAAGACAAATTCTTGTCTGACACCTAAAATGAAGCCACAAAGTTGCAAAATGACACTTTGAGAACTTTATCCCTGAGAAACTCCTGTTCTTCCTGATGGAAAGAAAAAAAGGATCAGCTTCAGCTTGGAGAGACAGTAGGTTTCCCCAGCTGCATATTCTCAGACATAAAATACAAGACCCAACGATCTTTTATGAGTTCACTAAATGTCAGTGTCACTTCTTTTTATTGCATATGCTTTTCACCAACTTTTACACTGGAAGATCAGGTTTATACAGCTTGGGGCCTCAGAAAGGCTTTGATACCACGTGTATCCTCTGCAGCCCCATGGCAGAGGAACAACACCCGAGCTGCTGGTGAACCAACTA